GCTGAACACAAAATCACATCGCCAGTGGGTACGAGGACCGACCGCATACCCTGTTCATTTTGAACAGGACTCGCTGTCGGTGTCGCCGCGGACGTTCTCTAGTTGACACCGAAGGCCGCCTGCCCAACAGCGGGCGCTGCTGGTTGTGGACAGCATCTCTTGTTGGGCATCGTACCTACTGTTTTCGTACCCACTGCGGGCGTCCAAGTTTTGGGGGCCAGGGCTGCTTCTTGCCGCACCTCGGGATTGGGGGGCGGGGAGACTGCGCAGGAGCGAGGATGTAGGCCTCCCAGACGAGGTCGGAGGATCGCGCCGCATCGCCGATGCATCGGCAGTGCGTCTCGGTGTGGAGCCTGATGTTCTCTACGCCGACGTCGCCGACGCATCGCCGACGTCGCAGATACACCACCGAAGCATCGGTGATGCATCGCCGACGTCGCCGACGCATCGCCGACGTCGCAGATACACCACCGAAGCATCGGTGATGCATCGGCGACGTCGGCGCGGTCCTCCGAACGCATGTACTCGGTCTCCTTTTGGGAGGCCTTTATACGAGATGCCGTGCCCTCATAGCACAGTTTTTCTCGAGCCCTCCGTGCATGGCGCCGCCATCCACGGTAGTGGCATTCTAGGCCTTGCCCGTTGCCGCCGAAGCGCAGCCTCGATTTCCCCCTCTGTCTCCCTCAACTTTCCCGTTAGCGTTATTTGAAGGGTTTCGCCCTCTGCCGTTTGCGGTCTTTCGGCTGGTCAGTTTGTTGGCTTGTCGGTTGGTTAGTTGGCAATTCGGTTGTCTGGATTGTTGCGTGGTGTGTAACAGGTGGCGGGCAGTTTGCCTGGGCTGTTGGCTGGCTGGCCTGCTGTGCGCACTTGTACAATGGGGAACGCCTCCCACCCTCAAGACAGGAGCCCTGTCATCGCTCCGCTCTGCGCGGCGTTGAAAGGTATCCGTCTCAACACTCTCGGCGTCAGAGCAGCCCGAGGGCGCATTCATGTCCAGAGTTCACACAAAGTAGAACAGTAAACATTGCTGAATTCGCCCGGCCATTCGCCAGCGTGGCAGCGCAGGCCCCCGGATCTCTGATTTATACGGGCCTCGGGAGCGCGCTTCTGATGTGATGCACGAGGGCCCGCGGCTTCGGGAGCGCGCGTTCCTGGGTATTTTCGTTGGGATTCGTGGTCTCGGGTCCAGGGCAGAGTGTTCAGGAAACGGTGCACGAACCGAAAAGCGCCCCCAGAGCACGTATCCCCGTGCAGTAAACATGTTGCTTTTCTCCTGCTCTAGAGACGGGGGCGTTGTTGGGCAGCCTCCGTGGGGTAGGTTCGTTGGCTCCCGAGCGCGCATTTTCGGTATTGGGCTATGGATTGTGTATTGGGGGGGCCCGAGTGTGTAGCAGTTTGACCCAGGCTGTAGCCTCGGGGGTGCGACTGTGTTAAGATGTGCTCGCTCTTGCCTGTGGACACGGGAGCGCGAGAGTGACGCGATTGCCATAGCAATATGGCCTCGGGAGCGCGAAGATGACGTGGTTCAGAAAGGCTCGTGTCCTCGGGAGCGCAAGCCTGGCGCAAGTTAAAAAGGATGTGTAGTTTCGGGAGCACGACTGTGACGTGCGCGAACGTGGCACAAGGTGCTGGGGACTGTGGCCTGGGGAGTACCAAGGCGACGTACTTTACCAGGAATTCTAGCTTCGCGAGCGCGAGCGGGTTATAGTCTACAAAAGATGGTGTCCTCGGGAGCGCGAGCGCGTTGTCATTTACGAGGGGGTGTGACTTCGGAGCGCGAATGGTGGAGCCCGAACGCATTCTATTGCAAAGGTTGCGTCCTCGGGATCGCGCAGCTGCTGTATTGTGACGTACTCCAGGGCGCCCAAAACTTCAGAGGACGTGATTCCGTTGTGGTAACGCGTATCTGTTCGGCCAGGGGTGTCGCGCTTGAAACCTTTCAGTATCGGAACTATGAACGAGCATCTATGACGCCTTGGAGACTAGGACCTGCACTGGAACTGGCACTGGAACCGAGGAGCTGAGGGGACTTATGATGCAGGGTGCAGAAACCTAACCTTCGCAGCCTGCTGGCCTGAAAGGGGGCCGGCGGATGACGGGAAGCGCCTCCGGCGTGTACCGTTGGTTCTGGGGAATGACGGGAAGCGTCTTCGAGGTACGAGAAGCAAGCGGGACGTTCTGGCTGAATCCTTGAGTAAATATATATATATATATATATATATATATATATATATCTTTAACTATATGGGTTGCCGCGCTGCACGGGATGATTCGTTGGCGGATTCCCCAAAATGGCCATTTCGCTCGAGACATCCTCGAAAAATCGAGGTGTTGGAGGCTATCGTTTAAGACGTCTTATGTAAAAAATGACGGTTTCGCTCGAGACATCCTCCAAAAACCGGGATGTTGAAAAATATTAAAAAAATTTTGTTATGCATGAAAAATGAGCGTTTCGCTCGAGACATCCTCGAAAAAATGAGATGCCGACAGAGGTGTTTTACAACCTCTTATGTTAAAAATGACGTTTTCGCTAGGGACGTCCTCAGAAAATGAGCAGGTGGTCTGCCGTGCTCCTGTGTGGAGCACGGCAGACCACGGCCATTTCGCTCGAGACATCCTCAAAAAATCGAGGTGTGGTCTGCCGTGCTCCTGTGTGAGCTGTGAGCTGTGAGCTGCGGGGCCTATGAAGGCTAAAAGGAGCCCGAGGCCCACGGAGCCCGTTGGCCCCAGGGCCTCAAGGGCCAACCCTAGGGGCCCCGAAGGAGCCTCCGCAGGGGAGGGCGCGAAGCGCCAAACGCGCGAAGCGCAAGATTTCAAAGAAATCAAGATCAAGGTGCAGGAAACGGGAAACACACACGCATTGCAACAGCCGAACATGCATGCCCACCTGCCTCACTCACGATGTCCTGCATCCAGCAGGCTCCACATGCGAAAGAAGGCCTTACACATCAGATCAACAGAACAATGCCGCCTCACAATCACAACCATGAGCAGGGAACTGGAAACACACACGCAAGGCAACAGCCGAACATGCATGCCCACCTGCCTGACTCACGATGTCCTGCCTCAAGCAGGCTCCACTAGCATGAGAAGGCCTTACACACCAGAACAGAACAATGCCGCCTCACGATCACTTCAATCCACCAAAGCGTTGAGGCGCACGGGCAAAGAATAACGCCTGACACAACAATACGAGAGCACCCGACAGTGCGGTCCAGCGCGCATCCCAATTCCCGCAGCCACAAAAACATACAAAAGCAGGACAAATCCAAAGGAGAGAACGTCAGCGCTGCCAAGGCCGAGCACCAGCAATCACTCATCCACGGAAATGGTCTGCCTGAGCGGCGGCAGCCCAGCCCGAGCCTCGGCTAGGTCAAGCAGCGCGCCAACCGCAGCGTAAGGCCCCCAGGCCACCGCTTCCATGGTGCCGAGGTCGACGGGGTCGAGGAAGAGGGAGTACGCTTCGCCCACGCCTGCAGCAGGCGCGGCGGAGCCACCGCTTCCACCCCCCCGCAGGAGGGCACCATCGTACCGGTCCAGGAAGTCCAAGACGGCCGCGCTGGGCGCCGAGGCAGCGCCGGGGAGAGAGAGGGAGCATGCCGTGGCAGCATCAGCCCCCAGGTCTCGCACGTCGCCACCGTTGCTGCCCTCGCCGTCGCTGACGCTGTCGGAGAACCCGTTGCCGAGGAGGACAGCCGGACAGCTTGCGGGGGCCCCCTGGCGCTCCAGACGCGGCAGCGGCGTCGCAGCGCAAGCAGTACCGCTCGCCAGGGGGCTCTCTGCGGGCGCCTCCTGGCAAGGAGGCCCGCTCACACTCGACAAATCACACGAGGAGAAGACCACTGCCCCGCAAGTGCAGACGAGGCCGAGCCACGCATCCGCCGCGGAGGCAAGGTCGCACACGTCCCCTCCGCCTGCTGCCCAGCTGCCAGGGGGCCGCAGAGGCCAGAAAGGCGCCGCGCCCCTGCGGAGCTGGGCGGCCGCGGCCTGCCCCGCGCACTGCGCCAGCAGGATCCGCGAGGGAGGCTCGGCCACGCAGACCTCGATCTGGATGTCCACGGCCGCCTTCGGCACATCGAGCGGCCTCGGCAGAAGGGGTTCATGCCGAGCACGGTCGCCGTCGCCCTTGACCAACATGCCGAGCTTCAGGAACTCGGGCCCGAGGTCCAGCGACTGGGCCAAGGCTCGCAGGGCGTCCCCAAGCCGATGATGATGCATGCCGAGGGCCGCGTCTGCGCGATGGTGGAGCAGCAGCGCTTGGCCAAGCTGCACCAACCGCCCCGTGAGGGCATCGCGGAGCTCGTCCGAGGGGCGAAGCGCCGCAGCAGCCGACGCGGCCGCCGCCTCCGCCTCCATCCTGTCGCAAGCAACGTGGCGGGCCTGGTCCAGCTGCCCCTCGAGCTCGCGGACCGTGCTCCTGTGTGGTCTGCCGTGCTCCTGTGGTCTGCCGTGCTCCCCACAGGAGCACGGCAGACCGCGCGTAGGAACCGAGAGGAGCACGGCAGACTATGCCCTAAGAGTGCCCTCAAGACGGCCGAACAACGGCAGACCCCATAGGAGCACGGCAGACCACAGAAGAGCACGGCAGACCAACAGGAGCACGGCAGACCACACAAGAGCACGGCAGGCCACACAGGAGCACGGCAGACCACACAGGAGCACGGCAGACCACAAAGGAGCACGGCAGACCACACAAGAGCACGGCAGACCCCACAAGAGCACGGCAGACCCCACAGGAGCACGGCAGACCCCACAGGAGCACGGCAGAGCAGACCCAAAAGGAGCACGGCAGACCACACAGGAGCAAGGCAAACCACAGGAGCACGGCAGACCACACAGGAGCACGGCAGACCCCACAGTAGCAAGGCAGACCCCAAAGGAGCACGGCAGACCACCGGAGCACGGCAGACCACACAGGAGTACGGCAGACCCCACATGAGCACGGCAAATCCCAAATGAGCACGGCAGACCACAAGAGCACGGCAGACCACACAGGAGCACGGGTCCGTAGCCATTTTGGCTCAAGCCTGCTCGGGCGCGCGCGCGCAGCGTGTGCTTGGGAGCGATGGCGACGGGAGGGGACCCTCCGCGGTTCCCCCGCTCGCGCGGTGAGCGCAGCGAGGCTGCGCGGCGAGCCCGTGCCGCGGCCGATGCGGCCGTGCGGCACGCCCGTGCGCGCGCCGGCGAGCTGGAGAAAGAGGTCGCACGCCTCAGGGAGGTCATCGCGGGCCTCACGGGTGGCGTGCCTGCTGCCGAGCCTGGCTCGTGGCAGGACAGGGAGGCGGCCGCTCGGCCCGCCCTGATCCTGGCCTCTGGCGGCCGGCCCGTGCCAGGGGCCGTGAGATTCCGCCGGAACACGGCCTTGCACGCGGCTCGTGCGCCTGCTGCGGGGTTTGCGGCGGCACCGCGGGCTGGCTTGGCCTGGGCGGCGGCGGGTCCGCGCCTTGGAGGCGTGCTCGGCCGGGGGGCGGCGGCCGCCGTCGTGTGCGAGGTCGAGATCTGCGAGTGCGAGGTGCCCGCGCGGCCCTCCCCTCCGGCCCCGCCGCGACGTGAGCTGCCAGAGGCGGCCGACGCGAGGCGCACGCCGCTTAGCTCCGCGCTCTCGGAGCAGCTCGGCTTGCTGCAGGGCGACCTGGCGAAGGTGTCTGGGCGGAAGGGCGCGCTCGAGGAGGGCGCCGAGCTCACGGTCGAGCTGGAAGCGCTCCCGCAGCGGCTGTGCGCGCTGGAGGACACCGCCGAGCCCAAGGCCGAACTGGAGTCGCTCTCGGAGCAGCCCACGGTCGAGCTGCAGGACGACCTGGCGGCGCGGTCCGTTCGGCAGGGCGCGCTCGAGGAGGGCGCCGAGGCCAGGGGCGAGCTGGAGGTGCTCTTGCAGCGGCCGTGCGCGCAGGAGGCGACCTCCGAGCAGCTGGTCTCGCAGAAGGGCGACCTGGCGGCGCTGTCCGAGCGGCAGGGAGCGCTGGAGGAGGGCACCGAGCCCAAGGGCGAGCGGGAGGTGCTCTCGAAGCCGGCCTCCCGCCACGCGTTCAGTGAGAGCTTGTTTTACTTCCTGGACGATTTCGCGGTGGCGGCGGTGCTGTGCGTGGCCATTGGGCCCAAGACGGGAGTTGAGGCACTCCTGAGCTCGGCCGAGGCCCGCTTTCTCGGCGTCCGCCCCAGCACTGCAGGCTGGCCAGATGCCGAGGAGCGTGAGCGTATCCTCGAAGGCCGCCTGCAGGTCGTCCAGATTGCGTGCGGACGCTAATTCCGTTTGCTCCGTGCATTTGCATTTCTTGTATTTGAATGTGTACGTGAGCTAACAATCGGTGCAGCTTCGCTGCTTGCCTTGCGTGCGGACGCTAATTCCGTTTGCTCCGTGCATTCGCATTTCTTGTATTTGTATGTGTACGTGAGCTCTTCTGTGCAGATTCGCTGCTTCTGCATGCCTCTCGGCACTGCCCGCCCCCGTGGCCCTGGGGCCTAGGCGCCCCCGTTGGCCCTGGCGGGCGTCTGGCGCTCCGCGCCCCCCCTGCGGTGGCCCCTTTCGGGCCCCCAGGGCTGGCCCTTGAGGCCCTGGGGCCAATGGGCTCCGTGGGCCTCGGGCTTCTTCTAGCCTTCATAGGCCCCGCACGACACGACACACAGGAGCACGGCAGACTCCACAGGAGCACGGCAGACCACAAAGGAGCACGGCAGACCACACAGGAGCCCGGCAGACGCCACAGGAGCACGGCAGACGCCACAGGAGCACGGCGGAACCCACAGGAGCACGGCAGACCGCGCGCGGGTACAACATAAACGCGCCTTTTTGTTGTACCCCGAACGCCGCTGGCGTTTCCCCAACAGGAGCACGGCAGATCTCACAGGCGCGCGGCAGACCCCAAATGAGCACGGCCGACCACAGGAGCACGGCAGACCCCAAATGAGTACGGCAGACCCCAAAAGAGCACCGTAGACGCCTCAGGAGCACGGCTGACCACACAGGAGCACGGCAGACCACACAGGAGCGCGGCAAACCACAAAGGAGCAAGGCAGACCCCAAATGAGCACGGCAGTCCACACGTTCGCACGGCAGACCGCACGCTCGCGGAGGGCCTCCGAACGGCCCAAGAGAAACCCCGAAGGCCCCCCAGAGGACCCCCAAAGCGCCCCAAGAGACCCCCAAGAGCCCCCGGCCCCCAAGACGACCCACGGTGCCGCCAGGACGGCCCAGGATGTCCTCAGGACGGCCTCGAGACGGCCTCCAGACGAACTCGAGGATGACGGGAAGCGCCTCCGGCGTGCACCGTTGGTTCTGGGGCTTCATTTTCTCTAACTAAGGGGTACGGGCCCGCACTTCGGAACTCGCTGGCGGCGGCCTGCGGCAGCAGAGGGACGCGGGCACCCCGAGCCAGCCGGCACGGGTCCTCCTGGTCGTTGTCGTTCGTCGTCGTCGTCGTCGTCGTCGTCGTGGTCGTCGTCGTCGTCGTCGTCGTCGTCGTCTTCGTCGTCGTCTTCGTCAATGACGATCTCGAAAATTACGACAAAAAGCGATGACAGAAAACGACCACAAACATAACACAAAAACCAACCGAACACGGAATCCAACAACAAAAAAGCAATCAGAAAAATTACCGCAATCATACCATGATAACGACGGCGACAGCGAGAACGGCAACAGCGGACGATTATAATGAAAACGACGACCACGACAAAGGAAAGGCACGCGACGACGACGACGGACAAACAAAAGACAAGACAGGCTGGAACAGAACAAGTAGGCTGGGCGACAACGGGTGAGGGCCCGCGTTTGCCGAGAGAAAAGCACGGTGTCGACACCATGATGTGGCCAGGGCAGCAGACTATCTCGACAGACCAGCGCGGCAGGCCATCATTTAGTCTGTTCTGTTGCGTTTATGGGTTTCTCTGACGTTCTCGCCAATACGGTCTCTGACGCACGTGGTGGATAAAAAACGGCGCTTCCCGTTCTTGTCCGGTCAGGTTAAGCACCCCCAAAGGCTCCCATTTTTCGTTGGCGGATTTATGTTTTGACGGGAAGCGCCTCCGGCGTGCACCGTTGGTTCAGGGGCTTAATTTTCTCTAACTAAGGGGTACCGATTGCATCCCGCAACTCGCTGGCGGATGACGGGAAGCGCCTCCGGCGTGCACCGTTGGTTCTGGGGCTTCATTTTCTTTAACTAAGGGGTACCGATTGCATCCCGCAGCTCGCTGGCGGATGACGGGAAGCGTCTTCGAGGTACGAGAAGCAAGCGGGACGTTTTGGCTGAATTTTTTGAGTAAATATATCTTTTCTTTAACTATATGGGTTGCCGCGCTGCACGGGATGACGGGAAGCGTCTTCGAGGTACGAGAAGCAAGCGGGACGTTCTGGCTGAATCTTTGAGTAAATATATCTTTTCTTTAACTATATGGGTTGCCGCGCTGCACGGGATTTTTCGTTGGCGGATTTCAGAAATGAGCGCTCGAGACATCTTCACGGGATGACGGGAAGCGTCTTCGAGGTACGAGAAGCAAGCGGGACGTTCTGGCTGAATTTTGAGTAAATATATCTTTTCTTTAACTATATGGGTTGCCGCGCTGCACGGGATTTTTCGTTGGCGGATTTCAGACATGAGCATTTCGCTCGAGACATCCTCACAAAAGTAAGATGTTCGCAACTCATCTGAAACCGAGAGGAGCACGGCAGGAGGAGAACGAGGCAGCACGTCGAGCGGACCAAGAGCGCCCTCAAGACGACGGAAAGGCGACCAAGACGAGGAGCACGGCAGACCAAGACGAGGAGGACGGCAGACTATGCCCTAAAGAGTGCCCTCAAGACGCCGAACAATCATCAAACAAACAATGAGTCTAACGTCGTCTTGGAATCGTTTTTGAGGGGCCATCAGTTACGGCCCCCCAAAAACAAAATCGGCCCAAAGATGACCCGCAGAGTGCCCTCAATACGGCGACCGATGACGTTTCGCTGGGGACGTGTTCAATAAATTAAGAGTGTATCAGCACCGTCTGTTGCAACTGCGCTGTGCTGGTCTGCCGTTCTCCTGTGGTCAGCTGTGCTGGTCTGCCGTGCTCCTGCGGTCTGCCGTTCTGGTCTGCCGTTTTGGTCCGCCGTGCTCCTGTGGTCTGCCTTCCTGGCTCTTGAAGTGCTGCCGCCGTCGTCGTGTGCTGGCGCTGTCCGTGTAAGCTGCTAAACTGTCAGACCGATGAAGAAAACGATGATTTCGGGTTACAACGGTAGACGCAGATTTAAACTGCTAGTCCAAAGGCTCGCCAGAGGACCCCACATCCCCAAGCACCACCCCGAGAAGTCCATCATCCATCATCATCATCATCATCAGCATCATCATCATCATCATCATCATCACAATCACGATCATCCATACTCATACTCAACTCACATCATCATCATCATCATCATCATCATCATTATCATCATCGTACGCATCACCATCACCATCAGCAGCAACATGTTCATCACCAACAACAGCAGCGTCAATAACATGATCTGGTCTGCTATGTTCCTATGGGCTTCCGTGCTGGTCTGCCGTGCTGGTCTGCCGTGCCAGACTGCCGTGCTGGTCTGCCGTGTCGGTGTGTTGTGCTGGTCTGCCGTGCGGGTCTGCTGTTCTGGTCTGCCGTGCTGAAGCTGAAGCTTTGGGGGCTTAAAGCCAGAGAAAGAGAGAGACATAGAGAGATAGAGAGGGAGAGAGAAAAAACAACAACAAAAAACAGGGGCAGGCCATCTTGGGCTACACCCCAGGGCCCTCCAGGCCCTACCCACCCAGGGGGCCCAGCGGAGTCCCACGGGGCCACACGCCTGGGGGGGCGGAAGGAGCGCGCCAGCGCCTCGCAAGACCTTTTGGTTCTGCGGAGGCCCGCTGGAAGTGGTGCCGCCTCGACAGGCAGGCAGCGCGAAGTCCTCGCACGGGCGGCCAACCGCCGGCCCGCGACGTGTGGCCGGTCTCGGTTCAAAGGCCACACCTCGCGTTCAGCCGCCAACGCCCGGATCAAAAAATTTTGTGGGACAAATTCGAACGGGCATGTCGCGACCCGGCCCCCGTCTCGCCCGCCAGCACACACCCCTGCACACACGCTCGCACACATGCACAGAGCTGCACACAGCCGCACACACAGGCACACGCCCACAGGCACACGCACACACACGCACACGCTCACTTTCGCTCTCTCTCTCACACACACACACGCACAGGCAACATACGTTCACGCTGACCGCAGGAGCACGGTAGACCAGCACGCCATAAAAGGAGCATTGCTGCGCGACATGACCTTCGCACGGACGCACATGCACATACTCCACGCACGCGCACGCGCAAGCGCAAACGCACGCACGCCACGACAGACCTGCGGGGCAGACCAACACAACAGAGCACATTTCACACACCTAGTGGGCAAAAGCGACGCTTCCCGTTCTTGTCCGGTCAGGTTTTTCGTTGGCGGATTTCAGAAATGAGCATTTCGCTCGAGACATCCTCACAAAAGTAAGATGTTCGCAACATCATCTTGAAACCGAGAGGAGCACGGCAGACCAAGACGAGGAGCACGGCAGACCAGGCACCAAGAGCGCCCTCAAGACGACGGAAAGGATGACCAAGACGAGGAGCACGGCAGACCAAGACGAGGAGCACGGCAGACTATGCCCTAAGAGTGCCCTCAAGACGGGTGTATCAGCACCGTCTGTTGCAACAACGCTGTGCTGGTCTGCCGTTCTCCTGTGGTCAGCTGTGCTGCTCTGCCGTGCTCCTGCGGTCTGCCGTTCTGGTCTGCCGTTCTGGTCTGCCGTGCTCCTGTGGTCTGCCTTCCTGGTCTGCCGTGCTGCTGCCGTCTGTCGTGTTGCTGCGCTGTGCCGTGTAAGCTGATAAACCGGTCAGACCGATGAAGAAAACGAGAGTCGGGTTACAACGGCTACGCAGATTTAAACTGCTAGTCCAAAGGCTCTCCAGAGGACCCCAACATCTCCCAAGCACACCCCGAGAAGTCCATCATCATCATCATCATCATCATCATCATCATCATCACCATCATCATCACCATACTCATACTCATACTCATCATCATCATCCTCCTCCTCCTCATCATCATCATTATCATCATCGTACGCATCACCATCACCATCAGCAGCAACATGATCATCACCAACAACAGCAGCGTCAATGACATGATCTGGTCTGCTATGTTCCTATGGGCTGCCGTGCTGGTCTGCCGTGCTGGTCTGCCGTGCCGGACTGCCGTGCTCGTCTGCCGTGTCGGTGTGTTGTGCTGGTCTGCCGTGCGGGTCTGCTGTTCTGGTCTGCCGTGCTGAAGCTGAAGCTTTCGGGGCTTAAAGCCAGAGAAAGAGAGAGACATAGAGAGATAGAGAGGGAGAGAGAAAAAACAACAATTAAAAACAGGGGCAGGCCATCTTGGGCTACACCCCAGGGCCCTCCAGGCCGCCGTGCTGCTGCGGCCTGCTGTGCTCCTGTGCTCCTGTTACCTTGCCTCTGTGTGGTCTCCCGTCGAGAGCACACAGAGGCGGCAAGATGCGTTCACGCCTCGTCTCGGTTCAAGGCCGTCGATCGCCAGGCCATTACAATTCGAACAATCATGCCTCGCGCCCTGGTTCAAACGGCCGCGACGTGTGGCGAGGCTCGGTTCAAACGGCCACACCTCGGTTCAGCCCGCCACGCCCGGATCAAACGACCACGCCGCTACGATTCGA